TGGAGGTTTTGGATATGGTAGTAGGAATCAGGAGGGGGACGAAGTTCTGGACTTCGCGGTAGCTTTTGACCTGATGATAGCCAACACTTTCTTTAGAAAGAGAGAATCTCATCTAGTGACCTTCAGTAGCGGACAACACTCTAGCTAGATTGACTTTGTCCTCACAAGAAGAAAGGACAAACGAGCATGCTTGGGTTGCAAGGTGATACCAGGGGAGTGTGTTGTTTCTCAACATAAGCTTTTGGTGGTAGACTTTTGTTTTCAGGTGCTGCCCATAGGGATAAACAAGCTAAGATTGAAAGAACAAAGTGGTGGAAACTGAAAGGGGAGACGTCAGAGGTATTCAGGGAAAGGGTTATCAAATAGGGCTCTTGGAAGGAAGAAGAGGACATAAACAACATGTGGGAGAAGATGGCAACCAATATTCGAAAGGTGGCCTCAGAGGTGTGTGGAGTAACCAGAGGAAGTGGAGATGAGGCTAAAGATACTTGGTGGTGGAACGAGGAAGTCCAAAGGGCTATTAAGGAGAAGAAAGAGTGTTATAGACGCTTGTACCATGATAGGAGTGTGGACAACATAGAGAAGTACAAGGTGGCAAAGAAGACTGCAAAGCGAGCTATAAGTGTAGCAAAGGGTAGAGCGTATGAGGATCTTTACCAATGTTTGAGTACGAAGGAAGGAGAGAAGGACATTTATAGGATGGCTAGGGTTCGTGAGAGAAAGACAAGGGACTTCAACCAAGTTAAGTGCATTAAGGATGAAAGGAAGCATCTCTTGGTGAAGGAGGATGAGATTCGACATCGATGGCAAGAGTATTTTAACAAATTGTTCAATGGTGAGAATACGGACACAACCTTTGAGTTGGATGACTCTTTGATGACACCAATAGGCGCTTTATGCGGAGAATCCAAGAATTTGATGTCAGAGAGGCATTGAAAAGGATAAAATGAGGTAAGGCGATGGGACCGAATGGTATCCCAATCGAGGTGTGGAGATGCCTCGGAGACATAGCTATAGTATCGCTAACCAAGCTGTTCAACCATATTTTTCGATCGAACAAAATACCTGATGAGTGGAGAAGTATATTGGTACCGATCTACAAGAATAAAGGAGATATTCAAAGTTATACTAATTACCGGGGAATTAAGTTGATGAGCCATACTATAAAGTTATGGGAGAGAGTTATCGAGCATCGAGCATCGCTTGAACCAGCAATAACCATGGTCTCTATGAACCAATTTGGTTTTATGCCCTAAGGTCAACCATGGAAGTCATTTTCTTAATAAGACAAGTTATGGAGCGGTATAGGAGAAGAAGGACCTACACATGGTTTTTATTGACTTAGCAGAAGAAGGCTTTGATAAATAAAATACATGGAATGTTATGTGGTGGGCTTTGAACAAACATAAAGTCCCATCATCAGAAAAGGATTTGTCACGAACGATTCGGGCGATGGAAAACTTAAGGACATGTACAACAATTGTGTGTGTGTTTATAGTCTAAGACTGACCTAGGGTTGGGGACGGCCAAGGTTGGGCGCCCACAACTTGTTGTGGCCACTAGTGTATGTCACATACCAGAATGATCCAAACCTTACGGACAACGACGATGTCGTCGTCCCTTTCCAACGCATCCAAGAACGAACCGTCTCTCGATGTCGTATGAGAAAGTTATGACCGATGACTTGCTGCTGATTAGGATAGGACTACATCAAGGAAACGAATCAACTTTGAGCCCAACAATTTGTTTGTGTTCGCCTTAGTGATGGATGAGGTCAGGATAGGACTACATCAAGGGACATACAAGGGGACATCCCTTGGTGTAAGCTTTTCACGGACGATGTAGTGCTAGTTAATGAAAGCCGGACAGGAGTGAATCAGAAACTGGAGTTATGGTGGGAGACTTTGGAGTCCAAAGGTTTTAGACTCAGTAGAACTAAAACTGAGTATATAAGATGTGACTTTGACACTACTACTCGGGAGGAGGAAGATATTAGTTTGAAAGGTCAAGTAGTGCCTAGGAAGGATATCTTTCGATATTTAGGATCGATGCTACAGAGAGACGGGGATATTGATGAAGATGTTAGCCATAGAATCAAAGCAGGGTGGATGAAGTGGCGGCAAGCATCTGGTGTCCTATGTGACAAAAGGGTACTACAGAAGCTAAAAGGCAAGTTTTATAGAACGGCGATTAGACCTGCTATGTTGTATGGTGCAGAATGTTGGCCTACGAAAAGACGACATGTTCAACAGATAAGTGTCACGGAAATACGTATGTTGCGTTGAATTTGTAATCATACAAGAAGGGATCGAGTTCGGAACGATGATATACGTGATAGATTAGGAGTAGCACCAATTGAAAAAAAACTTGTCCAACACCGGTTGAGATGGTTTGGACATGTCCAACGGAGACCTCCAGAGGCACCGGTGCGTAGTGGAATCCTAAGCCAGGATAGTAACGTGAAGAAGGGTAGAGGAAGACCGAAGTTGACTTGGGTAGAGGCAATAAAAGGAGACTTGAAAGGATGAAATATACCCAAAAACTTAGCCGTAGATAGGAGTGCTTGAAAAATAACTATTCACGTGCCTGAACCTTAATTGCTTCTGCTGGGTTTCAACTCTAGCCTACCCCAACTTATTTGAGACTTAAAGGCTTTGTTGTTGTTGTTGTAATGCTAAGAGAACGTGTCCCTCTGTATGCACTACCAAAAAAAAACAAAAAGGTGCTCCATCCATTAGTTTTCCTAAATCAACACCCTGTAACTGTGACCAAATTTATAGCAAAACTGCGACCTACTACGCCAAATTAGTTCTATTAAAAAATTCCACCACAAATATAATGTTTCTTGATAGTGCATTTGATTAGTATTGTAATATATTTTTATTAGACAAGTTTGAGAAACCGTCAGAGTACACATTATCACACATATCAAATCAGCTGAGTGCAGAAGAGGAGTTCCAAGTCGATGCTGGAGAAATCAATACCTTCAAAAAGAGCAGGTGCTTCCTGCAGCACTGGTAAAAAATAATCCAGACGACAACAAGATCAACCAACCCCCATTGGACAACAAGGGAATACCTTTACAACAGTACCTTCAAAAAGAGCAGGTGCTTCCAGCAGCACAGGTAAAGAAAATCCGGACGATAACAAGATCAACCAACCCCCATTGGACAAGGGAATACCTTTACAACAGTCAAATAGTAAAATGAAGTGCCTTTTTACATTTTATAAGGAATAATTGAATCTGATTCATCGAAACTTTATTCCAAATCCTAAATGCCAAGAAACTGTCCCATATACAGAATTTTTTAAAAAAAGAGTTTAAGTATATTGTAACAAAGAAAAGCAGGAAATATCTTTTTTTCTCTCGAAAACGCAGGAGAGGTGCGCTTCATTATATTAAGAAGATAAAAGGCAAGAGCCCGAACAACCCCACAAACACCAAACACACATCACACACACTCACGCCCCAACAAAAACGTTACATTCGTGCCCGTAAGAAAACACACAAGGTGACCACTAGGCTAAACATTTCTAACTACCGGGGAGGAGGGCAGTAAAGAATGAAAGCCCTCGAGCCCCTGCCATAGACCATAAATGGCGCTCCTCGCCGGCTATGATCAAAGCAGGAAATATCTTGACATCAGAGAACAGAAGCCTAAGCCTCAGACTATGGCTAGCTTCATCAATCAACTACTAGACGCTTAGCAAATATCTAGGATTTGCATGCTCATCACAAACAAGTCCCCACTTCAAATTTAATCACCATATAAATATTTCTCGAGTACGTGAAGAAAGGCTCCAGTTTACTTCCATACACAAGCAAGTTATTAAAAAAAACATACAATGAATGGGGTTTGGGGCTGCTCAATCAGATTGTGTTCGGGCAAGCTTCAAAAACCCAGACGGAGATTAAATTGAGGAACTCTGCCAAGATTAATGGGAAGCAGACTAGTGGTGAAAATTATGTCTAGTTCGAAACTATTCAAGGGTCTCAAGTACAAGTCCATTAATCATATATGTTAGCCCATTGCACCAGAATAAGTACATGCCACTTCCAGCATTAATATATGAAAGGATGATAGCAAAAAGAACTACAAATCATGACAAATACAAGAGATTTTTGTCAAGAATTTGTAACCAAACACAAAAAGTTCCAACATTTTAAATTTATTAAGACTGACTTGATCAAGTGCTCCTATGGTAGATGACTAGGACAGGCGAATACCAATCAAATACACCAGTGCGATGTAGATTTATCAGATAAATCCATTGTGAGCTAGAGTATAAACTAAAGAATACAACAGCAGCAGCAACAACAACAACAACGAAGTCTTTTAGTCCCAAGCAAGTTGGGGTAGGCTAGAGTATAAACTAAGGAATGATTAACAATTTTAGAATATGTGATCTAAAAACAAGTCCTAAAGCTGGTACAGTATCATGGAGAAAACAGCTTGAACCCTAAACTTCTACTTTTTCATCCACTTCTGACGAAAAGCTAGATTCTTATTATAGTACAGGAACTTGTTCAACCACAGAAACTGAAAACAGGGTTAAGAGTAGATCTTACACAAGAAAGGATGACTATTAAACATCAAATCTACTAACATGTCGCTATGTTCAAGGTAAGAAATATAACAACAAACTCTCCTTACACGCAGAACAGTGGAGCAGGATCTTACAAGAAGAGTTAACTTAATCATAACACAAATATACAAACTATATCATATTACAATATTAATGAGAATTTACAAGAGCATAAATAAAGATGTACAGTGACCTGCAAGGTGCTTTCAAGTGGCCCAAAGCGATGCAACCAATACTGCCCAAGGGTCATATTCCCTTCAAGGTGGATTGCTATATAAAAGCAGGCCGTGTCAATGCATGTGTATTCGACTTGACAGGAAAGCAAAGTCAGTGTCTGTTTGCCACGAGTGTCATCTCTGCAACTTGAATCTGCAAGACCAATCAAAACTGTAGGTGCAGTCAGTGAGAAAAAAATGGTCAGAGGGAAGGTGCAAATGCGGCGAATTGAGAACCCTGTCCACAGAAGGGTAACCTTCTCCAAGTGCCAGGAAGGACTGCTCAAAAAGGCAAGAGAACTCTCAGTGCTTTGTGGTGCTGACGTAGGTGTAATCATATTTTCCTCTACTGGGAAAGTCCATGAACTAGCGACTAACGGGTGCGTTCTACAAAATTCAAGTTGTTATATAGTGAATCTTAAGTGCGACAGAACTTCTGAGATGTTTTCCTTTACACTCAAAATGCAAGAAATATGCAAAGCTTGGTTGAGAGGTACCAGAGCATCACAGCAAGAGGTCAAACGGAAAGCAAAAATCTGCAAAGCCAGGTCTACCTTTCACTTTGCATATTATGAGGAATTCTGTAACTACTTGATAGAGGCATGTCTATGAATCTTTTAGTGCTGTTATACTATCTCTTCAAGTGAGTATGAGATGTAACCAAGGATAGCATGAGTGTGTAATTTGAGCATGGGTGGGGGAGCGAGAGAACGGATTAGCCTTTCTTTTAAGTAAAAAAAAAAAGCAAATCCCAACTTCTGATCTAATACTAAAACAAATAGCATTTTTCTTTATAAAAAAGGGCGTACCCAGTGCAGAGAGCTCCCGCTCTGTGCGGGGTCTGGGGACAAATATAACTGTGAGCATTTTCCTTTATAATGGTAGCAAATATAACTGTTAATATTTTTATGCTTAACAGGTAACAGAGAACTGGGTTTCCTTGTTAAAGGAAGAGATATGTCTACTGCAGCATGGTTTAAGGTAAGGTTCATGTTCAAGATGACAAACCCATGAATGACTTGCATTGTAGATGGGCAACAGTAGCTTAAGGAGATATCATGTGTAGCTAAGAGCCTAAGATATGCAGCTTCCACTGCTCAGCCCCAAAATATGACCTGTGGGCTGTGAAACTTCAGCAAATGCTCATCTTGCATTCTAATCTAACATGAACTATTGACTGTAATCTAAGTACAACTGCAACATGGCATAACTGTAATCTAACATGCAAAGTAAGACATACAAAATGCTGACAAAGCTGTATGAAGCCTTTAGTGGTGGCACTTTGTTATCAATCTCTTAACTTCTGCACAAATAATTGAAACAGCAAAATCTTAGAAGTGACTGTTAGGAATATAGGGCCTTACTGGTAATACTACTGTCTACTATTGCAGCCAAGTGTTTCAATGGGTAATAAAAGAGTTTTGAAACACTTCCTACGTGGTAAAGCCAAGTAAACTACTCCCTCCATTCAAAATTATAAGACGGTTTGGCTTTTTTAATTCATTACTTTTGCTATGTATCTAGACATAGTGTATATCTAAGTGCATAATAAAATCTATGCATCTAGAAAAGCCAAAACGTCTTATAATTTGGAATGGAGGGAGTAGTAAACATCACCAAGACACCAACAACAGGAAGCTAATACTAGGAAAACGAAATAACATCCAAGCTTGCGTATTAGCTCTAACTGTTCTAACAATCACAAAACTTTCTATTCTAATAACCAAGAAACTTTGGAATTAAAATTTGATTGAATGAGGCATTTAGACTACCAGACATGATGAACCACCTAACAAATAAAAAAGCTGACAAATGAATCAAAGCAGATCCACTGGAGGGGGAGCAGAGGACATGAAACTGGATAGATTGCACGCGCTCGAGAAAGGTCTTGAACTCTGGTATTACTGGACACGCTCCACAAAGGCAAGACAACTTTATCCCCCTTCTTATTTCCAAACTCATTCAGATTAGGCAAAAAACTAATGTGATACATCTTTTATCAGATGAAGATCATGCAGCAAGAAATTCACTTTCTTAAAAATAAGGTCAGCATCAATGTCTCATAATCTTCCTTGATAACAACAAGGGAGTCTGACAGCACAAGAAATAAAATAGAAGATAACAATACATTTTCTTGATGTGCAGGAAAGCATACTTAAATCAGCAAATGAAAATCTTCAACAGAAGGTAATAACAAGCAGGCATTTTGCAATATTTATTTGGAAAAATGAAATCCTCAGCCTTACATAATAGCACAAATTTAAAGTGCATATTTAGGCAGGAAATATGTTAATTACATTAAAATGCAATTTCAAAATCCTGAGCTTTCAATGTTAGATAATATTTTTTTATGTATACAGGAAGGCATCCTGAAAGCAGCAAACGAAGTTCTCCAACAGAAGGTAACAATAGATAGATAGTTTGCAGTATTCCCTTGGAAAAATGGTGATAGCTTAGCCTTACATATTATTGCTTCTATACATAGCTAGCATGGACTGCAAATTAAAATTTTAAACCCACAATTAGGAGGAAGAGATAAATAACAAATCTGTATCTTAAATTCAGGCTTTAGTGAAAACCACCGAACTTCACAGGTAGTAACTACCAAAAACAAACTCCACATTTATAAGAGAAGTTAGATCACACTCCATTTTATTGCAAATATACGACATAGTTTCAGTAGAAAGGTACAAGATGCCAATGGTGCAGCTAACTGACTACTTCATTTCCTACTGCCAGGTGAATGAACAGAATGAATTTATAAACAACTGCTTGGCCTTTTCTGGATCTTCATATTCGATGCATTACAACACAAATGAGAGTTGCTTATTCACGGTATAGTTGTTCTGGAATAACTGGTGTTGATATTATTTGGTGTGTTTTGTCTGTATTGGACACACCTGTATTGATATTTTCATCATTCAGGTTTCAAACAGCACGTTTGTATTAAATAAACATTTGAATTGAGCGGTACTGTATTCTGGTTTGTTCTTCTCAGGTATCCCATGTTTGCTGAGACTACTACTTTGCAATCCAATTATCTTATCTCAGTGTGCAGAAAAACTTTAAGCACCTGGCAGGCAAATATTTTCTACTGCTCCATACAAAAATGAAAACATTTGAAATCCTCTGTTTAGCCCTCTCCCTGAACTTCCATCAAAATGCTTCGTGCGAATTCAAGGCGTTACGATGTTGATGAAAATTGCAAGGTATATGTTAAGCAGCAGTAAGACAGGTGTGAGGAATACAGAAAAACAAGTGGAAATTTAAGAGGGGGGAGATGGGGCACCTTGGGCGGGTTGATCACAGCAACGCGATAAGGACGAAGAGCAGGAGCGCGGCAACAAACGAGTACTTGATGGCGGCGGCGAAGATTGCCGCGGAGATGAGCGCGATCTGCAGCAGCAGCGAGGCGCCAGCCCACGCGAGCGCACCCGTGAGCACCACCGCCGCGGCGTTGGCGGGGTCCGGGGACAGCAGCTCGCCCCAGCGGATCTCCGACAGCGCCGGGAACGACGAGGCTCGCCGCTCCTTCTCCCCCTCCGCCGGGGGCCCGCCGTCGCCGTCGCCGTCACCGTTGCCGCGGGAGGCCGCACGGGCGACTGCGAGGCGGGGGAGGCGCGGGCGGAGGGAGCAAGAAGCCGAGGTGACGGGTCTGGGGTGGGCGACCGCGAGGCGGACGGGGAGGTGGTGTGGAACTAGGGTTCCGGCGTGTGCCGCCATGGAAGGGAGGAGGAGGAGCACAAGCGAACAGAGGAGCAGAGCAGCAGAGGGGAAGGGAATGGGTGGGTGGATGACACGTGCGTATCTGGAGGCTCGTTTCAGCCGTTAGATCTGTAATCGACGTTTTGAGATCGATTGCGCCAATCTAGGGTAAACCGTTAGCCGTGGCCGTGGGAGAGGGGAAAAATCGGACTGTCCTTGTGAGCAGCTAGGCTGCTAGCAGCCAGCTCCCGGACGTTTGGACGGGTAGGTACCTGCGGTCATATGTTTATGCCGTCTCTCACGCGCCCACGTGGGGCCTGCACCACCCCGAACGTCATCAGTCATCGAGAAGAAAGAGAAGGAGGCAGATGCCCTGCCGACGTCGAGAGAGGCGAGGAAGCAGAAGGAGGAGATGCAACATCCGATCTACTTTTAAAACATTTAGATGTAAATACTTGCAACATACATCTGAAGGCAGATGAAACACTTGAAACATGTATGTGAAAACACTTGCAAAAACACTTGAAACCATTGCAAAAACATACGCGCGCAACATCCAAATAAAACACTTGCAACATATGTGTAAAACATATGCAACATCTAGATAAACACACTTGTAATATACGTCTGGAAAAACAGATGAAACATTAGGAACAAAAGCTGTAACTGTAAATCATTTGCTAAAACATGTCATGAGCATCATGTTTATGTGTAATGCATGTAATATAGAGTGTAGATCAAGTTCCATGACTCAACGATCAACGGAACTACATAACGAAAGTTAATTACATAGTCATGTTATATCACTTAGGGTTTAAAACAAATTTTTATTAAGCAAAAATGTTATAGAACATATATGTGATACTTGGATAAAAGTTTGAAAGTACAAACTTTGTAGATGACGATGAAATACCTGTGGTCGAAAAATGATATCACTAGCTAACATATCTAATAGCTTGAAAATCGAATTTGACGCAAATCCAACTCAAGACTTAGTCGATTTCTTAAGTCGGAAAACAGGTTGACAAAGCTATGTTTGGTAATTTTTGTAGATGAATTGGGTTAAGGAGTGGTGTTGCATTACGGCTTGTTTTAGTAGCCTTATATACCCTCTTAGGTATAGCAAAGATGGTTTGGGTGTTTGGCCAACTGATTAGTTGATTGGGAAGCTTTAAAAAGCGTGCATGGCATGGTCTCGGTCGTTTTCCTCGCGTAGGCGCGGTCACACGCCCTATGCCACTTGCTGGTTACACACACCGCCACCCGCAGACACACACGCCTGCCATGCATGCTCGACTGGCAGCTATGGCCGATAGCTCTGGCGCTGCTGGTCGCCCACCTGCGATGCCAGCGCCCAAGACGACGTCAGTCGTTACGCGCGTCGCCTTGCGTCTCTAGGCCGTCCGCCGTCACCCATCACCGCACACGCACGCCAACTCGCCCCATCGCCACGCCGTTGTGTCGTCGCGTCACCATCTCGCTCTACGCTCGCCCCATTTTGCTCACACGCATCTCTGGTTTACTGGGCGCCAGGCGTCTACGGGGCCGAACCGCCGTCGGCATGCCATTTATGGCACTACGACGCGTGCGCCACGCCGACCTCGTGCGTGTGCCATCAGCTAGCGCCGGCCAAGGGCTGCATTGGTTGCGCCAGCCGCATCACGCCAAGGTGCACTCGCCAGCTACCCACCACGTCCTCACCGCCTCCCATCCCTTGTTTCTCCCATGCCCGCCTCTGTGCGCCGCCAGCCTCTGTTTCGCCATCGCGTCGCGGCCATGGTGTGCCAGGGCGCAGGCGCTCGCCTTCAATTCCGTGTGCCCGTGTTTGCGCCTGGACGTCCACATGCCAACCGTACCCACCCCGCTTTGAATTGAGCCACGACGAACTCTAATTTGGAAGTTCCCCCTCCGCCGTGCCATTAAAGCTGGAACCGGTCGTGGCCAAGGGCAGCCACCCACCGCACCACCCCTCGTCAATCTATCTTCAACACGCGCTCCGCCTTCACCTCCACTTCACCCTGTGCACCTCACTTGCACCTCTACCGCCTCGCCGTTAGTGTCGACCCTAGGGGTAGGGCACGAGGTGCGACGGCCGAGGGCCCAAGCGGAGGAGGGGCCCAAGCCAAAGTATACAAACCCTTAGGTCCTATGGTCCATTAGGCATTAGCAAACTAATGAGAATAGAGATATAGAACTGATCAGACGGCCAAAAAGACAACATCAGCATCTCTTTCCTAGTTTTCTTTCCCCACGCCCTCAGGTAGAGAGGAGACGAGGAGTCATGCTGCACACCGCACACTCTGATCGTGAGTTCGCGACGTGCGCCTTACACATGCGGAGCTGGCAAGCCATGCCACCATGAAGAGCTAGACTACCGGAGATACGGACACAGCGCACGAGGATGGCGACCAGACAGGGCTCCACAACGATGACATCTTGATTCTTGGCTTATGAATTACGATCACCGATCAGTTGTTTAGGTATAAGGTATTTTTCCTTTTTATTTTTAATCCAAATTAATTATTTGTATAGTATTTCAGACTTCTAGTATTTTGTACCCATATAGTTATATTTTTCTTCTAATTTAGGTGTTAGAATTTTAGAATGTTACCTAAGAAACATTTGTCATGGGTGAGAAAAGAAAAAACGAATATATTACTTTTTTAATCTACATTGTTCCTCGATAATTATCATACATCTACAAATATATTGCTTAATCTACATTGTTCCTCGATAATTATCAGACATGCTAAATTAAAAATATGTTATTGAATTTGCTTTCGTTTTGCAAGTAAAATTAGTACCTATATATTATAAGATTTTATACATGGTCTGACCATGCCATCTCGAGCGCGCCACATCCCATCGCCTCAAGACGTGGCCCAATTTCGTTAGGGGAACCTCCGCCTAATCCACCACCGTAGTCGTGAACTGTGAGGTACTTTAGTGATGCTTTATGCTATCTAGTTCATCCCATGGTGGCTTAGGATGGCTGGCGTGGTCGCTGCTTCGCCAAGCATGGTCAGCACCATGGTCGCCATTTCCGCGAGCTCCACCGCTCCTGTAACCTAGGCTAGAGTAGGCGCTAGGGTTGTAGATGGGTTGATGAGTACAGGCCCGATCTTCCGAGAGGTAGTCGGTAAGTTCGATTTGTGGAGATCTCGACGCTGGCGATCCGGCCAAAATCGGATACGATTCGAACCCTACAACTTACACCATCGCTCCGCTGGTTATCAACCAAGCACAAACTTGATTGACCTCGCCAAGAAGGCTTTTCCTCGCAAGCTTAATCAAGAGCACAAGCAAGAAGGTAAAAAACACGCAATCTGAAATTGCAAATATGAATGACGCGAATATCAATAGAGGGTTCAAGAACTCGGTTCCAAAGGACTAATCGACACAAAGGAGGAGATCAAGAACGGGGCCCCGGATCACCGTAAAAGGATTTGTCACCACAGCTATAATGAACGATTCGGTTTCTCGATGGAAAACTAAACTCTAAACAAAACCCAATTGTGTAGCAGCGGCGGCGGCTGTGTTTATAGTCTAAGACTCGACCTAGGGGTTGGGGACGGCCAGGGGTTGGGCTCCCACAACTTGGGCTTAAGGTCTGACATGATACATGGCCAAGTTGGCCCAAATAGGTGACGTCCTTGTCGTGGTCACATGGACCTTCTAGAGCTGGAACCAGATCCAAAACGACGGGCGTCGTCGTCCCTTTCCAACGATCCAAGAACAGCCCGTTTTGACGTCAGATGAGGAAGTTATGACCGAAACAGTGTGACGATGAGAATAGAGAGGGTGACGTGGCAGAAACGAATTGCAACTTGGGGAAGACCATGGCGCGGTGTTGTGTCCAGCAATCATCCTCCCTTCTCGAATTGAGTCGTCCTCGACTCCATCTTGGCGATGTCCTCATCATCCCCTCCTTCTAGAATTGTAGTCCCCTCGACTCCATCCCATCATCAACAACTCCCCGCAAAAGGTTAGTGATAGTAGGCAATGCACCGTATATAAAAGGTTGACAAAACATAGTATAACATGGTGCATCAGATTATCACATAACTCAAAGAAGAGCGAAGTTGTAGCAAGAAAAGCACCTCCTTTTAACTTAATCCCATTATTTTTAGCAATGTCTGTTGGAGGTTTATTTTTAATCTCATTAGCATGTTTAATAATATCCGAGGGAGACAAAGGCAATGAATGTTTTTCTTGTCCTTATGTATGATAGTGTATGTATTAGTTCTACCATGGTGTAAAGCATCATTATCAAATTCATGGTCGACCTAACAAAATGGAACAAGCCATAGCCACATCATGAAGAGCTAAGAGCCTATGAAAAAGCTAATGCGTGCACTATTTAGTTACCTTAGTCTTACCACTATTATTGAACTACATATGGATACGAGTTGATGGGTCGAGCCAAGCTTGTCAACCAAATCTGAACTCACCAAGTTGTTGCAACTCCATCAATGATAGTGAGCATCTTGATTCTGTGGCTTTGTTGTTGGATCTTCAATTACGATGTCCCATTGATCAACACACGCCGCACAAGTTTAGGGTAGTCCGCGGCAAAGCATAAGGTATTTTTGGCCTCCTTTTCTTGATTTTTAATCTAAATTAATTATTTGTATAGTATTTCCACTTCTAGTACTTTGTACCCATATAGTTATATTTTTCTTCTAATTTAGGTGTTAGAATTTTAGAATGTTACCTAAGAAACATTTGTCATGGGGTGAGAAAAGAAAGAAGCTTAATATATTACTTTTTAGACCCGAATCTACATTGTTCCTCGATAATTATCATACATCTACAAATATATTGCTTAATCTATCATTTCATTTCCACAACGCATAAACCAATAAGCAATTCTTGATAGTATGCTTCCATAATTCACGTTGGTCGGAGGAACAAAATGAGATTTCATTGACATGCTTAGCATTGCAAATTAAAAAAGCAAAATTATATAGCAAGTTATTGAATTTGCTTTTGTTTTTGCTCTGCTAGTCAATCTAAAT